ACACATGGACTTTGGACTCCTGTCCAACAATGTGAGATGCACTCTCATCCTGAACTCTTGGGGGAGGGTCAAGGCCCTGTGATGGATGAAATGACAGACTTTGGTCACCCCCAAAGAGGGCCTCTCCCTTCCTGGGGAAATGAGGGGATATTGGGGGTGGGGTTGGGGGAGTGCACAGGACTAAGGGAGGGAGAAGGAGAGGGACCTGGAACTGACTTGTGAAGCAACCTTGTTTCTAACCTAAATTTAAAATTAAAAAGAAAAAGAAAAAAGAAAAAAATGAAAAAATAAGACAATTAAAAAATAAATTAAAGAAAATACTAGAAAAGATAATAAAGAAAATACTAGAGTATGGAAAGAGCTATGTTTCCAGATTGGCAGAATTCATACAGCAAAAATGTAATACCTAAAGTAATCCACAGATTCAGTACAAGTCCTGTAAAAATTCAAATGACACTCTTCATAGAACAGAAAGAAAAAAATCAGTTTTCACAAATGCCTGTAACTTCCCTTCCAGAAGATCCAATCCTTCTCTCCCTCCTCCTCGTCCTCCTCTTTCTTCTTCCTTTTTCTCTTCCTCCTCTTCCTCTTCTTTTTCCTATTCTTCAGCTATTTATTTATTTTGATTTGGCATGGGTTTTACATTCATATATGAATGTGGGCCCTCAAAAATTAAAAATGGAACTATGCTGTGACCCAATCCGACCTCCCTGAGAACAGGGTCAACGGAATGCACATCCTAGCACAGAGGTCAACAATCATCCACATCTCCTGCTACATTATTCCCAATGTAAGGACAGCTTAGCTGTCCAGCAACAGAGGAGCACATTTAGAAAATGATAGACACATTGGAATTCTGTTCAGCTGTAAAGAAAAGTGAAATTACAAGATTTGTAGGACAAATAGGTGAACCTAGAAAGTATATTAAGTAAGGTGACTCAGAGAAAAAAAGCATAAACAAAAAACCAAAAACAAAAAACCACTGGACTGTTGTGTGGGTGTTGGGATCTCCTGTGTGTCACCGTGAAGCTTGTGCATCATCACAGACCCCAAGTAGACGATGAGATGACATCTCCTGAACATAACACAGCTAACCCTTCCTGCCAGTTCCTGTCACTGAATAACCCAGGGAAAGATGAAGAGAGCATCCCAATGCTGGAAACATTTTAAAAAGAAAATTCCTCACTCTGGTTTTGTCTGAAAATCTAAAGCTCTCCATCAGTGTCACCAAAAATTGCTGGTGTAAATGGGGCTAAACTTAGTAAGCAAACTCCAAGAAGAGCTGAAAGGAAAAACACGGGATTCAAAGCAGCAGAGCACCTGGGTGCAATTTGCACAACAAGGCTCAATTTTATTATTAAACTTATTATTATTATTAAGCCTGCTTCATAGCCAGCATGTCCAAACACAGTAATGTTGTCATCAGAAAAACAATAGTTTACCCTGACTGTTCCCTAGGAATTGTGGAAGGCATGGGCATTCCTACGCTCCCTTCCATATTTCTTGGAATCCAAATTCTCATCTTGAGAATTACCAACATCACATATTTCCATGCCCATCTTAAAAATTTGCTACATCCTCACAAACAATCCCCAACAATCCATATTTACATTATGGCTTTAGGTGTTCTAGAGGGCACAGTATTGTAATCTGTAAAAGAAGCTTCTTCACATGGACACTGTCTCACAGCAAAATATACCACCGGCCTACGAGGGCTGAACTCTGTTGCCCTTGATATGAAAACCCGCTTGTTTTAGGTTTCTCTTCCATTCCAGATTTCCTGCTGACTTTGTCCATGGCTCACCTGTGGCTACAGACACTTGTTTAAAGAGCCAGAAAAGGGTGGTGGTGGCACACGCCTTTAAACCCAGCAGAAGCAGGCAGATATCTGTGAGTTCAAGGCCGGGTTGGACCCACAGCCTCCAAAACAATACAGAGAAACCCTGTCTCGTAAAAAACAAACAAACAAACAAAAAAGAGCCAGAAAAGGGCGGTGGTGGCACACGCCTTTAAACCCAGCACTCGGGAGGCAGAAGCAGGCGGATCTCTGTGAGTTCAAGGCCGGGCTGGACCCACAGCCTCCAAAACAATACAGAGAAACCCTGTCTCGAAAAACCAAAAAAAAAAAAAAGAAGAGCCAGAAAAAAATCTGTGTGCTCTTATAAAGTTAATGTGAAGTTCTAGAAGGAGCCTGTTTCCCCTAGGTCTGATATTCATTCCTTTCTGCTGGGGCTGAAGCAGTCAGACACTGGGCATGTCTACATGGTGATGTATTGTGTATGATTTGTTAAAGCTTGCCTGAGGATACAGAAAGGAGGCAGTCAAAAGCCATAAAAGCCACAAACATGCCTTTAATCCCAGCATTCAGAGGCTGGGAGATGGTGGTACATACCATTAATCTTAGGATTTAGATTTAAGAGATGACAGATCTCTGTGAGTTCAAGACAACCCAGATCTACACAGGAGTGGATCATTATAAAGAGAATTACGGTTCACACCTTTAATCTCAACATTAGGGAAGCATATAAAACAGAAGCAAAGTCTAAGAGAGAATGCACAGAGGACTGGTAGCAGTCTGACGCTTGGTGAGAGCTCGAGGAGACAGGATACCACATTCAGCCTAAGATAGAGGTAAGAAGCTAGCGATCAGCTGGTTTGCTTTTTCTGATTTCAGCTTGAAGTTTGAACCCAAATAAGAGTCTCTGGGGTTTTTGGTGTGGGAGTAAGAAAGTTAAATCCATCTGAGGCCTAGGATAGATGCCACAACCTTCGACTCCCCTGGCAATATCAGCCGGTGTGAAGTGATTTTATAAAAATACCCCATGAATAGAAACCAGGAGACAAACACAGACTAGGTTTTGACAGTTCGTCCTGAGTTGGCCCCATTCGGATGTTTTGGGCATCCTCCTTTCCTCATAATTTCTTGAAGCCCCATTTACAAATCTGTCAGATAAAGGTAATCATATGGTCCTTCTGTCAGTTACTGGGCAGGTCTACATTGGTGTGTTGTTTATGATTTTTAAAGCTTGCCTGAGTATTCTGAAAGCAGTTAGTCACAAGCCATAGAAACAAGACACACACCTCTAATCCCAGCAGCCAGAAGATAAGAGGTGGTGGTACACACCTTTAATCTTAGGACTCAGCTTTAAGAGATAGACTGATCTTTGGGAGTTGAAGGCAACCCAGAGTGGATGAGTCTAAAGAGAATTACAGCTCACACCTTTAATCCCAATGTCAGGGAACTATATAAGATAGAAGCAAGGTCCCACAGACCAGACACACTGAGAAGCAGCAGCAGTATTGGGCTTGGTGACAGCTAGTCAAGACAGGACCATCCCATTCAGCCTAAAATAGAGGTAAGAAGCTAGTGACCAGCTGTTTTGCTTTTCTGATATCAGCTTGAAGTTTGAACCCCAGTATCAGTATCTGGGTTTTTTATTTTATTTTATTGTTACACAGGGTAAGGAAGGTCAAATTCATCTGAGGCATGGGGTTAATGCCACACTTCTCTGCTCCCCTGGCAGTATCTGCCAGTATGGAGTGATTTTATAAATATACCTCATAAATAGACCAGTAGACAAACAAAGACTAGGTTTTGACAGTACATCTCTCATTTTGGTCCCATCCAGATGGTTTATGCATCCTCTTATCCTCATAATTACTATTTTTAAGATTATTTATTTGTTTGTACTCTCTGATCACTTTCCCACAAATTCTAGACACTTGTGTGTGTACTGAATGATTGCAAGGAAGAAACTTTGGAGTTCCTTTCAACATAGATAATGTTGCTGTATTCATTCAACCTAGATACTGTCATTGTATATAACAGGATAACATTACTAAATAAGATCTTATTAAATAGTTGTGCTGAGCATTGCTGCTTTGTTTTATGATTCAAAGCATGTGACCTTGGTGAGCCAGAAAGTCCACTTGCCAAAATTTGCCCCGTAAATGTACCTCATGCACAAACAATGATGTGTGTTTAATATCATTCCTGGCTAATTTGCTTTATTGTGGTTTTATTTCTCCTTTTTTCATTTTTTATTTATATTAGAAACAACCTTGATTCACATGTCAATCCCAGCTCCCTCTTCCTACCCTCCTCCCCGGACCCCCACCCACCCACCCACCCAATCCCCACTCTGATCCCAGGGGAGGGTGAGGCCCTCCATGGAGGATCTCCATTGTCATTTCATTCAGGGCAGTGCCTAGGCCCTCCCGGAAGAGACCAGGTTAAGAGAGCATCCTTGATTGAAAGATGAGCCATTTGTGTGCCAGGGATAAATACTGATCTACTACCCAAGACTCCATAGATTGTCTAGGCCAGTCACTGACACCCACATTCAGGGGATCTGGATCACTCCCATGCTTGCCTCTCAGACTTCAGTTTGGGGTCCAAGAGCATCCCCTTCTTCAGGTCAGCTGTTTCTTTGGGTTAAAGCAACCCACTCTTGATCACTTTGTCATCAGTCTTCTCTCTCTGTCACTGGGTTCCAGAGATTCAGTTAAGTGTTTAGCTGTGAGTGTCTACCTCAGCTTCCATCTGTCACTGGATTAAGGATCTAGAATGACATATAAGGAAGTTGTCCAACTCATTATCAGGGAGGGGCATTTAAGGTAGTCTCTATACTATTGCTTAGTTTGCCAGTTGGTGTCATCCTTGTAGATTGCTAGAGATCTCACTGGTGCCAGCTGTCTCCTCAAACCTATAATGACTCCCTCAATTGTCTCTCATCCTTCTCTTCTCTATCCTTCCCCCTACTCAACCGTCCTTCTTCCCAATGTCCTCCATTACCTCAGAGTTAACAGTTGGGAAAAGATTTTCCAATCAGACCTAGTTTCTTGAGGACCCATTTAAAAATCTCTTAAAGGTATTCACATTGTCTTTGCAACTCACAGGGTTAAAAAGAAAAGGATAAACAGGCAATAAAATAGAAAGTACTACTGCCTGTAGACTCAACTTAAGAAGCATCGCTGAAGACTCTCATTTCCCTGCTATCATGTCTAAGTCGGCATCACCCAAGGAGCCTGAACAGCTGCGGAAACTCTTCATTGGAGGGCTGAGCCCCGACACAACCGACCAGAGTCTAAGAACCCATTTTGAGCAATGGGGAACGCTCACCGACTGTGTGGTGAAGAGGGATCCAAACACCAAGCAATCCAGGGGCTTTGGGTTTGTCACCTACGCCACCGTGGGAGAGGTGGACGCTGCTATGAATGCGAGACCACACAAGGTGGATGGAAAAGTTGTGGAAGCTAAGAGAGCCATTTCTAGAGAAGATTCCTGGAGACCAGGTGCCCTCCTAACTGTGAACAAGATCTTCGTGGGTGGTATTAAAGACGACACGGAAGAACAGCACCTGCGAGATTACTTTGAGCAGTATGGGAAAATTGAATTGATTGAATTTGTTACAGACAGAGGCAGTGGGAGAAGAAGAGGGTTTGCTTTTGTCACCTTTGATGACCATGACCCTGTGGACAAGGTTGTTATTCAGAAAGACCATACTGTGAACGGCCACCACTGTGAAGTGAGAAAAGCCCTGTCAAAGCGAGAGATGGCTAGACTTCGAAGTGGTTCCGGAAACTTTGACGGTGGCCGTGGAGGTGGTTTTGGCAGTAATGACGATTATGGTGGAGGGGGAAACTTCAGGGGTGGTGGTGGATTCCATGGTAGACGTGGTGGTGGCTATGGTGGCAGTGGGGGTGGCTCTAATGGATTTGGTAATGCTGGAAGCAATTGTGGCAAGAGCTCCCGTCCTAATGGTGGTGAAGCCAACACTTTGCTAAACCAGGATACCAAAGTGGCTGTGGTGGTTCCAGCACCAACAGTACCTATGGCAGTGGCAGGAGATTCCAATTGCAGCCAGGGAACAAGTCTTAGCGGGAGCGGAGAGTCAGATAAATCACAGGAATCTGTAGGTTCCAACTGATTTATGAACTTAGCCAAGCACAGTTGTGGCAGCGCCTTGCTTCTCCAAAGAAGAGATTTATTGGACAATACTCACATGTAAGGACAAAATCTCCAGGACTCTATTTCTGACAGTTGTGTAGCAGATTACTTCAGTTTCTGTCTGGAAAGTGTAAAGCATTTCAACTAGGGTTTTACTGTAAACCTTTATTCACCCATGCTATGGATTGTTAAATGTAATATCTGATCATGATGCTGAATAAAATGTGTCCTTCCTAAAAAAAAAAGAGTACTAACACATTAAATTGTTGTCAGCTCTGCACCATCAAATACTTCCAAGTTTTAATTTGGTCCCCACTGCAGAAGGACTTGAGAGTGCAAGGATCATGTGTCAATATAGCCATCTAGGGTCAATGCTCCTGAGTGGATGGATCTGTGCATTCTCTGCAGCTGTGATGCTGCCTGAAGTCCCACAGGCTGTGTGGTCATGAGGGAAACACAAGTGAGAGAGCAGGTGGGGCAGTGCCAGGGACAAACAAAAGGCAGGAAAGAAAAAGACATGGAAAACACCCCAGGCACATTGACATGCCCCTTAACTCTAGCACTCAGAAGGCTATAGGAGACTGCCATGAGTTCAAGGCTATCCTGGGCTATGTAGTCAGACTCCTGGAACCCAGGTGAAAAGAGGAGTCATGAGCAAAGGAATCAAGACAGGGCTGGTGAAACCCACAGAGGCAGCTGACCTGAACAAGGGGAAATACATGGACCCCAGACTAATGACTGAGAGACCAGCATGGGACTGATCCAGACCCCTTCCCCCTCCTGAACCTGGGTGTCAGAGAGGAGGCCTTGGCGATCTATGGGACCTTAGACAGTAGATCAGTATTTATTCCTGGCATACAAAGGACTTTTGGAGCCCATTCCACATGCAGGGATGCTCTCTCAGCCTGGACACATGTGGGAGGACCTAGGCTCTGCCTAGGATGATATGAGAGACACTGCAAATTTCTCCTGGAAGGCCTTATCTTCTTGGGGAACAGAGGAGGGAAAGGAGAGGGAATTAAAAGTACCATATGTAGAAAGTTAAATAAAAATTATTATAAAAACAAAAAAGCAATACACAATAATTAGTAGATTTCACATATATTTATATGTATCAGTAGTAAATTTGCAAATAGAGAACTGAAAAAATATTAAAATCAAAATAGATATATAAAAAATATCTAAGAAGAAACGTAATGAAATAAGTAAAACACTTCACTGTAAGAAAATATAAGACCATTTTAAAAAAGGAAATTAAAAAAAAAACACCAGTTTATGGAAAGAGCTATGTTCCCAGACTGGCAGAATTCATGCAGCAAAAACTTACTACCTAAAGTAAGAAACAGATTCAGCACAAGTCCTGTAAAATATTCAAATGACACTCTTCATAGAACCGAAAGAAAAAAATCCAAAACACATACAGGAACAAGAGATTGGAAATTGCAAACGTATCAACCCTAAGCAAAACAAACGATGGTTTAAGTACCACATTACCCAACCTCTACTTAAACTGTAACACTCATGTATAAATCTAAGTGCAAACTTAACTGTAGGGACAAAGTGTGACTGTCACATTGACAGGATCAGAAATCACCTAGCAGAGACTCTTTACAGGTGTGTCTCTGAAGCAGCAACTTGATAAGGAAAACTGAGATGGGAAAGCATGTTCTCACAATAGATGCCATCATTTCCTTGACTTACAGCCTAGGCTCTCCAAAACGTGGGGAGCTAGGAGTTGGACAGACATTCAGAGAACTAGCTGCTGTTGCAGAGGACTGGAGTTCAGTTTTCACAACTGCCTGTAACTTCCCTTCCAAAAGATCCAATCCTCTCTCTCTCCTCCTTGTCCTCCTCTTTCTTCCTTCTCTTCCTTCTCCTACTCTTCCTCCTCCTCCTCTTCCTCCTTGTCCTCTTCCTCCTCCACCTCCTGCTGCCTTCTCCTTCCTTCTTCTCTTCCTCCTCTACAATGATTTATTTATTTTTGATTTGGCATGGGTTTTACATGCATATATGTATGTTGGGCCTCAAAAATTAAAAATGGAACTACGCTGTGACCAAATCTGACCTGTCCTGAGCACAAGGACAAATCACTGCACATTCTAGCACAGAGGTCAATGATCATCCACATCTCCTGCTGAAAGACCCCTACCTAGGACCCCCTAGGAAAAGAAAAGCAAGGCCAGGCCGTTGCCTAATGAAAGAAACCCAGACCAGGTGTTTCACCCTCAAAACAGGATGTCTGTGATCACTATAGCAGTCATGGGACCCGGATAATAATTGCTGAAGCGTGCTGGGAACTTTCATATGACAATACTAGAAAACCTAGTCCTTGGCAACTACCCTGGCCCCCAATTGTGTCTGATCACTGTAGCAATCATAGGACCCGGATACTAATTGTTGAAGCATGCCGGGGTCTTTCATGTAGGAAACCTAGTCCTTGGCAACTACCCCTGCCCCCCCAGATGATCTCAGCCCATGCTTCAGTAGCCAATGAAATATCTGTTGCTATGCTGATACTTATGTAATCATTAAAACTCCATAAATAGTGTACTCCCTACAAGCCCGGTATGCTCTGCACCCGAGTTGCAGTAGCATCCGCAGGCGCCTGTGTACTCAATAAATCACCTCTTGCATTTGCAGCCAGTGGTCTGGCCCCGGTTCTTGGGCAGAGGGTTCGGTTCAGTGCCCGGCGTTTTGATGCCGAGGTCTTTCACTGCTACATTATTCCCAATGTAGAGACAGCTTAGTTGTCCAGCAACAGAGGAGCACATTTTGAAAATGATAGACACAATGGAATTCTATTCAGCTGTAAAAAAAAGTAAAATTACAAGATTGTAGAAGAAATGGGTGAACCTAGAAAATATATTAAGCAAGTGACCCAAAGAAAAAAACAACAAAAAACCCAATGGACTGTTCTGTGGGTGCTGGGAACTCCTGTGTGTCACTGTGAAGCCTGTGCATCACCACAGTCCCCAAGGAGACCATGAGATGACATCTCCTGAATATGACACAGCTAACCGTTCTTGTCAGTTTCTGTCACTGAGTAAGTCAGGGAAAGCTGAAGAGAGCTTCCCAATGCTGGAAACATTTTAAAAGGCAAAGATCCTCACTCTGGTTTTGTACGAAAATCTAAAGATCTCCATCAGTATCACCAAAACCCTAGAGGACAAAAATTACTGGTGTAACTGGGTCTGAACTTAGAAAGTAAACACCAAGAAGAGCTGAAAGGAAAACCATGGGACTCAAGCCAGCTGAGCACCTGGGAACACTTTGTACAACAAGGCTCAATTTTATTATTAAACTTATTATTATTATTATTAAGCCTACTTCATAGCCAGCATGTCAAAGGTTCTATAAAACACAGTAATGTTGTCAACAAAAAGCAATCGTTTACCCTGACTGTTCCATAGCAATTGTGGAAGGCAATGGGCATTCCTATACTCCCTTCCATGTTTCTTGGCATCCAAATTCTCTTCTTATTTATTTATTTATTTATTTTTATTTTTTGGTTTTTTGAGACAGGGTTTCTCTGTGGCTTTGGAGGCTGTCCTGGAACTAGCTCTTGTAGACCAGGCTGGCCTTGAACTCACAGAGATCTGCCTGCCTCTGCTTCCCAAGTGCTGGGATTAAAGGTGTGTGCCACCAACGCCCGGCTCAAATTCTCCTCTTGAGAATTACCAACATCACATGTTCCTATTCCCGTCTTACAAATTTGCTTCATCCTTACAAACTATCCCCAACACACCATATCATTATGGCTTTAGATGTGCTAGAGGGCAGTCTTGAATCTAAAAGAAGCTTCCTTAGATGGACACTGTCTCACAGCAAAGATACCACTGGCCTAGAAGGGCTGAACTCTGCTGCCCTTGATGTGAAAACCCCCTTGTTTTAGGTTTCTCTTCCATTCCAGATTGTCCTTGGCTCAACTGGGGCTGCGCACACTTGCTTAAAGAGCCAGAAAATATCTTAGTGCTCTTATAATGTTAATGTGAAGTTCTAGAAGGAGCCTGTTTCCCCTAAGTCAGCTATTCATTCCTATCTTTTGGGGCTGAAACAGTCAGTCACTGGGCATGTCTACATGGTGATGTATTGTGTATTATTTGTTAAAGCTTGCCTGAGGATACAAAAAGCAGGCAGTCAAAAAGCCATAGAAGCCAAAAAAAAAAACAAAAACAAAAACCGGGCGTTGGTGGCACACGCCTTTAATCCCAGCACTCCGGAGGCAGAGGCAAGCCTTTAATCCCAGCACTCCGGAGGCAGAGGCAAGGGGATCTCTGTGAGTTCGTGGCCTGGCTGGACCGACAGCCTCCAAAACAATACAGAGAAACCCTGTCTAGGAAACCCAAAAAAAAAGCCATATAAGCCACACACATGCCTTTAATCCCAGCATTCAGAAGCTGGGAGATGGTGGTACACACCTTTAATCTTAGGATTTAGAATTAAGAGATGAGAGATCTCTGTGAGTTCAAGACAACCCAGATCTACACAGGAGTGGATCATTCTAAAGAGAATTGCGGCTCACACCTTTAATCTCAACATTAGGGAAGCATATAAGACAGAAGTAAAGTCTCAGAAAGAATGCACAGAGGACAGACAGCAGTCTGATGCTTGGTGAGAGCTCGAGGAGACAGGATACCACATTCAGCCTAAGATAGAGGTAAGAAGCTAGCGATCAGCTGTTTTGCTTTTTCTGATTTCAGCTTGAAGTTTGAACCCAAATAAGAGTCTCTGGGGTTTTTGTGTGTGGGAGTTACACTGGAGTAAGAAAGTCAAATCCATCTGAGGCCTAGGGTAGATGCCACATTCTTACCTCCCCTGGCAATATCAGCCGGTATGAAGTGATTTTATAAAAATACCCCATGAATAGAAACCAGGAGACAAACACAGACTAGGTTTTGACAGTTCGTCCTGAGTTGGCCCCATTCGGATGTTTTGGGCATCCTCCTTTCCTCATAATTTCTTGAAGCCCCATTTACAAATCTGTCAGATAAAGGTAATCATATGGTCCTTCCATCAGTTACTGGGCAGGTTTACATTGGTGTGTTGTTTATGATTTTTAAAGCTTGCCTGAGGATTCTGAAATCAGTCAGTCACAAGCCATAGAAGCAAGGCACACACCTCTAATCCCAGCAGCCAGAAGATAAGAGGTGGTGGTACACACCTTTAAACTTAGGACTCAGCATTAAGAAATAGACTGATTTTGGGCGTTGAAGGCAACCCAGAGTGGATGAGTCTAAAGAGAATTACAGCTCACACCTTTAATCCCAATGTCAGGGAACTATATAAGACAGAAGCAAGGTCTCACAGACCACCCACACTGAGGAGAGGCAGCAGTCTGTGGCTTGAGAAGAAGGGACCATCCCATTCTGCCTAAGATAGAGGTAAGAAGCTAGTGACCAGCTGTTTTGCATTTCTGATATTCAGCTTGAAGTTTGAACCCCAGTATCACTATCTGTGTTTTTTATTTTATTTTTCTGTTACACTGGGGTAAGGAAGGTCAAATTCATCTGAGGCATGGGGTTAATGCCACACTTCTCCTCTCCCCTGGCAGTATCTGCCAGTGTGGAGTGATTTTATAAATATACCTCATAAATAGACCATTAGACAAAGACTAGGTTTTGACAGTACATCTCTCATTTTGGCCTCATCCAGATATTTTATGCATCCTCTGATCCTCATAATTACTTTTTAAAGATTTTTTATTTGTTTTTAACTCTCTGATCACTTTCCCAAAAACTTCTAAACACTTGTGTATGTAGTGTATTATTGCAAGGAAGAAACTTTGGAGCTCCTTTCAACCTAGATACTGTTGCTGTATTCATTCAACCTAGATACTGTCATTGTACATAACAGGATAACATTACTAAATAAGATCTTTTTAAATGGTCATGCTGAGCATTGCTGCTTTATTTCATGATTAAAAGCATATGATCTCGGTGAGCCAGAAAGTCCACTTGCTAAAATTTGCCCAGTAAATGCACCACGTGCACATAAACTGATGTGTCTTCAGTAACATTCCTGGCTAATTTGCTTTATTGTGGCTTGTATGTTTCTCCTTTTTTCATTTTTTATATTTATATTAGAAACAACCTTGATTCACATGTCAATCCCAGCTCTCTCTCCCTACATTCCTCCCCAGCACACCAGCTACCCACCCAAGCCCCACTTTGATCCCCAGGCAGGGTGAGGCCCTCCATGGAGGATCTCCATTGTCTGTCATTTCATTCAGGGCAGTGCCTAGGCCCTCCCCGAAGAGACCAGGTTGAGAGAGCATCCTTTATTGTGGGATGAGCACCCAAAGGTCATTTGTATGCCAGGGATAAATATTGATCTACTACCCAAGGCCCCATAAATTGTCCAGGCCTAGTCACTGACACCCACATTCAGGGGGTCTGGAATAATCCCATGCTTGCCTCAGACATCAGTTTGTGGTACAAGAGCTTCCCCTTGTTCATGTCAGCTGTTTCTGTGGGTTAAACCAACCCACATTTGACCTCTTTGTCATCAATCCTCCCTCTCTGTAACTGGGTTCCAGGAGTTTAGCTGTTGGTGTCTGCCTCTGCTTCTGTCTGTCACTGGATGAAGGTTCTAGGATGTCACATAAGGAAGTCGTCAAACTCATTATCAGGGAGGGGCATTTAAGGTAGTCTCTATACTATTGCTTAGTTTGCCAGTTGGTGTCATCCTTGTAGATTGCTAGAGATCTCACTTGTTCCAGATATCTCCACAAACCTATAATGACTCCCTCAATTGTCTCTCATCCTTCTCTTCTCTATCCTTCCCCCTACTCAACCGTCCTTCTTCCCAATGTCCTCCATTACCTCAGAGTTAACAGTTGGGAAAAGATTTTTCCAATCAGACCTAGTTTCTTGAGGACCCATTTAAAAATCTCTTAAAGATATTTACATTGTCCTTGTAACTCACAGGGTTAAAAAGAAAAGGATAAACAGGCAATAAAATAGAAAGTACTACTGCCCTTAGACTCGACCTAAGAAGCATCGCTGAAGACTCTCATTTCCGTGCTATCATGTCTAAGTCGGAGTCACCCAAGGAGCCTGAACAGCTGCGGAAACTCTTCATCGGAGGGCTGAGCCTCAAAACAACCGACCAGAGTCTAAGAACCCATTTTGAGCAATGGGGAACGCTCACCGACTGTGTGGTGAAGAGGGATCCAAACACCAAGCAATCCAGGGGCTTTGGGTTTGTCACCTACGCCACCGTGGGAGAGGTGGACGCTGCTATGAATGCGAGACCACACAAGGTGGATGGAAAAGTTGTGGAAGCTAAGAGAGCCTTTTCTAGAGAAGATTCCCGGAAACCAGGTGCCCTCCTAACTGTGAACAAGATCTTCGTGGGTGGTATTAAAGAGGACACAGAAGAACAGCACCTGCGAGATTCTTTTGAGCAGTACGGGAAAATTGAAGTGATTGAAATCGTGATGTACAGAGGCGGTGGGAGAGGAAGAGCGTTTGCTTTTGTCACCTTTGATGACTATGACCCTGTGGACAAGATTGTTATCCAGAAAGACCATATTGTGAACGGCCGCCACTGTGAAGTGAGAAAAGCCCTGTCAAAGCGAGAGATGGCTAGACTTCGAAGTGGTTCCGGAAACTTTGGTGGTGGTCGTGGAGGTGGTTTTGGCGGCAATGGCAATTTTGGTCGAAGGGGATACTTCAGGGGTGGTGTTGGATATGTTGACAATGGGGTAGGCTATAATGGATTTGGCAACGATGGAGGCAGTTTTTGGCAGGATCTCCCGTTCTTATCGTGGTGGTGGCAAATACTTTTCTTAAACCAGCAAACCAATATGGCTGGCGTGCTTCCAGCACCAGCAGTGGTTATGGCAGGGGATGGAGGTTCCAATTACTGGACACAAAGCTTAGCAGGAGAGGAGAGCCAGACAAGTAACAGGAGAGCTATAGGTTACAACAGATTTGTGAACTCAGACATGCACAGTATTGGATGGGCATAGCTACTCCAAAGAAGACATGTGTTAGCAAATACTCATGTGTACTGGCAAAACCTCCAGGAATGTGTTTGTGACTAATTGTACAGCGGGTTACTTCAGTTTTGTACTGTGCAAAGTATAAAGATTTCCAACAGAGGGTTTTACTGTAGACTTTTTTCACCCATGCTGTAGATTGCCAACTGTAATATCTGATCATGATGCTGAATAAAATGTGTCCTTCCTAAAAAAAAATAAAAAGAGTACTAACACATTAAATTGTTGTCAGTTGTGCGCCATAAATACTTCCAAGTTTTAATTTGGTCCCCACTGCAGAAGGACTTGAGAGTGCAAGGATCATGTGTCAATATAGCCATCTAGGGTCAATGCTCCTGAGTGGATGGATCTGTGCATTCTCTGCAGCTGTGATGCTGCCTGAAGTCCCACAGGCTGTGTGGTCATGAGGGAAACACAAGTGAGAGAGCAGGTGGGGCAGTGCCAGGGACAAACAAAAGGCAGGAAAGAAAAAGACATGGAAAACACCCCAGGCACATTGACATGCCCCTTAACTCTAGCACTCAGAAGGCTATAGGAGACTGCCATGAGTTCAAGGCTATCCTGGGCTATGTAGTCAGACTCCTGGAACCCAGGTGAAAAGAGGAGTCATGAGCAAAGGAATCAAGACAGGGCTGGTGAAACCCACAGAGGCAGCTGACCTGAATAAGGGGAAAATACATGGACCCCAGACTAATGACTGAGAGACCAGCATGGGACTGATCCAGACCCCTTCCCCCTCCTGAACCTGGGTGTCAGGAGGCCTTAGCAATCTTTGGGAACTTAGACAGTAGATCAGTATTTATTCCTGGCATACAAAGGACTTTTGGAGCCCATTCCACATGCAGGGATGTTCTCTCAGCCTGGACACATGTGGGAGGACCTAGGCTCTGCCTACGATGATATGACAGACACAGTCACAAAACGAGAAACATGGCATGTACTCTCTCATATATGGATTTTAGACATAGATCTGGGGAGTGCCAGCCTACAATCCCATGGCCAGAGGGTCTGGGAAACCTTCATTCAGTGGCTGATGGAAGAAGAGGCAGACTCCCATGGCTAAGCACTGAGCTGAACTCAAGAAAGCCAGTAACAGAGAGGGAGGACTGATGACCAAAGGGATTAAGACTGGGCTGGTTTAACCCCAGAAACAGCTGACCTGACAAGGGTTAACTCTTGAATCCCAGGATGATGCCTGGGAATCCAGCATGGGACTGATCAAGACCCCGGGAATTTGGGTGTCAGTGAGTAGGCCTAGGTAATCTATTGAGCCTTAGGCAGTAGATCAGATTTCATCCCCAGTATATACATGGACTTTGGACTCCCATCCAACAATGTGAGATGTACTCCCAACCTGAACTCTTGGGGGAGGGTCTAGGTAGGCCCTGCCCTGGATGAAACGACAGCCTATGAACACCCCCATGGAGGGCCTCACCCTCCCTGGGGAAATAAGGAGATAATGACAGGGGTTGAGGGGAGGGCACAGGAGGAGGGGAGGGAAAGGGAGAGGGACCTGGAACTGACTTGTGAAGCAACCTTGTTTCTAATCTAAATTTAAACTTAAAAATAAATAATAATGAAAAAAAACTTAGAAGCTATTTCCATATGCTACTGAAACTAAATCACCAGCCAGAGAGAGAGAGAGAGAGAGAGAGAGAGAGAGAGAGAGAGAGAGAGAGAGAGAGAGAGAGAGAGAGAGAGAGAGAGAGGAACAGATAGACAGATACAGAGAGAGACACACACATACAGAGAGAAATTAATTTTGAGATGCGTATCAGCTGCTGGACCCTATTTCCTTAGTAACTGTAATCGTGTTCTTATACCTGACTTTGATTGGAACTGTGATCAGCCTGACTATTAATAGGGGTCAACACCATATGACTGTGCCTGATCCATAGCCAAAAGAACAAAGGTGAAAAACTGGTTTGGGTTCCGGTTTGATAGAGTATCCCCATCCATGCCCAAGCCTGCAAAAGAATCTGATACCAACTTGAAGCATTTAAAAACAATTCTCATCTGTCCAGCCTCTCTCTTTCCTCTCTCTTCTCTCTCTCTCTCTCTCTCTCTCTCTCTCTCTCTCTCTCTCTCTCTCTCTCTCTCTCTCTCTCTTTATCTCTCTACATTATTATTAGTAGCAAGTAAATTCTCACTCAATTTGAGAAACATGTACAAGAAGGTAAACTTGTCATGACTTGCCAGTTCCTTCCTGCCACTGTAGGCACAGTGTTGTTCTTTTGTTTCCTTTGTGAGTAGAGTAAATGGAACAGGAAACCATGCTTCAGTCACTAGTGGATGAAAACATGAACCACGAGACTCAACAAACCCATGTGTAGTTTATTGAAGGGAAAGGGAAGAAGAAAGTGGGGGAGGGGGAGAGAGACAAGGTATGGAGAGAGAGAGAGAGAGAGAGAGAGAGAGAGAGAGAGAGAGAGAGAGAGAGAGAGAGAGAGAGAGAGAGAGAGAGAGAACATGTGGCAATGCTAGCTTAAAAAGGGAAGCTTGCACATTCGTACTAAGTCTTTATGCAGCCCCATAATGGGCGACATAGCTATGATGTGACCATGCAATGCAGGGAGGGCCCTTTGAGCTGCCTAAGTAACTGCCTGAATGTAGATAAGCATGTCCCACTCATTGGTCAGGGGTGGAGGTCAGCATAACAGCTGGGTTCCAACCCACAATACACAGCCTACTACTGTATCCCTTCAATCTGGACAGTGAATCTAAATGAATATGATGAAGATTAAAGAAAAAATAGTGTGGTTTGACAAAGAGGAGGGATCATTTAAACCTTTTCACCATCTTAGCATAGGAAGTGACTCCCCCAGAAAATCACACTTTTCTATCTTTTCCCTAGTTAAACTTCAGGAATGGATGGAATGACTATGGAAAAAAAAAACACCATGAAAAACTATACAGCCATCTCTTCTACAGGTACTTTGGTTTTGTTTTTTTTCACATGTATATGGTATGCATGCATACTGGTGTTTGTGTGTGTGTGTGTGTATGTGTGTGTGTATGTGACTATAGGAACATGTATGTGCATGTGGAGGCTGGAGTTTGATATTGGGAACATTACAATTAATCTCTACTTTATTCATCGAGTCAGGTCCCTCATTTGAACTCAGAGTTCCTAACTATGTCTAGTTTGGCGAGGTAGCTTGCTTGAAGATCCCCTTTCACTGAACTGGAACAACAGAAAGATGTCAGATCCACAAGGCATTCATGTGGGGATTGAACTGTTATTCTCCTGCCAAAGAGCCAACTGACTCTTTAGCTTCTTCTACCACACGTCCTTTGATATGAAAATTTACCTGTGCTATTACTGAGACTGGCACCCAATAAAGGAACCTGCTTTCCTGCTTGATAAATAGATTTTTAAGTCCCCACTTTTCATTTTTAAAAATATTTTCCTTTAGGCCTTGGGTGTATATGAAAGTTTATATCACAGAGAACAAAAATATCAGACCAGGAATGCCATTTGTCTTCCATCATTGTTATGGATTGCACACCTCTGGCAAATTTTCTTACTCAGAGCCTGTAATGGAAAGATACATACCTGTGTGAATTTTACCAAGAAGTTTGGAGACCATGTAAGTAAGTGTTGGAGACTATTTTTAGAGTGGATAAAATGCAGTGTTTCTAAAAATAAAGTTTCCATCGACTAGAGCCCTCAAGATTGCTGACAGACAGTCTTTGGAGCAGAAGTCGTCAGCAGGAACTCAATAATCCATGAATGGAAAGGCCACACAATGACACGAGGATGCTAACTTCCTCTTCTTGGAGTCTGTTAAGTGGGGCAGATGACTCCAAAGGTAAAGCAAACGCTGACCTTTGTACTCCTACTGATGGCATGAAGGTCTGTTACACTTAGAATGGTGCTGAAAACAAGCCATGAATCATAACCTTATGTCCATTAGCAACAAGGAATCTGTGCATGTTAGGGAAAGATGGGATCACAGTGAGAACACAGACTGAAAATCTAACAAACCACTTATAATACAGGGACAAAAGTGGGAATTATACCAAGGAACCAGAATTGCAAAAACGTAGAGCAAATGAGGATGGAACATGTAACAGACAACGATGAGGATGCAGGCAGAAACCCGATCGTGTATGCTATGATAACACATTATTAATGACCTTTCAGCCAGAATTTTCCAGTCATTTCCTTACATATGAAGATATTATAGTAAAACTGAGAGACCTATAATAGAGATGCCCACCCAACACTATGTGCATCCTTATATTTCTCTCTGCAAAGCACACAGACATCTGTTTACCTGTTGCCAAATATCTTTTCCTGAAAACATATCTTTAACTCCCACATGCAGGTTGACTGTCACCCAGTGGGTCAGTAAAGAGCCATTTCTTCCTCAGTACTGCTCACTGCAGAGTCTGGGCACCTTTGCAGCCTGTGTTGTTGGTGCATAGAGATCACAGTAATTGAATACTTCTTTCTGTGCTGCTCTTGGCCACATTTCCAGCATTTGTGAAGTATAGATATTTATCAGACATCACATGCACCAGGCATTGACTACAAAGAATCATTGAAATATGTAAATGGTCCATGAGAACTCCACACGTAAGCGGCCAATACAAACAGTGTAAATAAGTTGAAATTTGTGTAATGTTTTACAAGAGCTCCATCCTGGAGGGGAGACATCAGTATTTTTTCTCTTGTCTAGTGTGACTGGATTGAAGGAGGGCTGCTTTTTTGTGAGGTTTAAAGCATGAACTAACACTAGATGTTAATTCTAAGGCACTTAGATTTTCATGTGGAAGGGTATAGTGCACTTACATCCTGCATTTAATTTTTAAAACTCTTTTTATAACTCTATTATGTTAACATGGCTCAAAATATAGCTCAGCCCCCAGAGAAGGCACACATGATAATATTATATGTCATGTTACATACAACTTATCCATTGTGACCAGTGTAATTTGTAGAAGAATATAAGAAGCATGGAGTTACCATACTAAGAAGAATATTTGAAGACTGTGGTACTGTCCTCTTGGAGAAATAAAGCACAACGTGGTAGTCTCTTGGATTGTGGTGCACTCCCAAGCAATTAGATCGATACTGTGCATTGACTTTTATAAAAAATAATTTGTTTTGTGAAGAATTGGCTGTTTCTCTGCTTTCGTGTTGTCAGTCTCCATAGGACTTCTGTGCCCATTAAAGTAACAAATGAAGATAAGATGAAACATG